ATGGCCTTTCTGCTGATGCTGCTTTCTCAGGGAATCAGATCATGATACTATAACTTTATACAGTTAGCTGCACCTAGTCAGTCAAGTGAAATTAAAGCAAACAAACAAAAACCCACATGACTTCACTCAGGTAAAATGCAAACCTACATCTTTCTGCTTAGGTGAGTGTACACATCCAGTATACAGACATGCGGGAAAGGGCTGAACTCTTCACAGCCTTTGCTGCTGGTGAATTACAAAGGGTCATTGTAAGTGTACAGCAAGTGACTTTTATGCCTCACTTTACGTATTTTCCATTTTTCTTTTATTCATCTATTAACAAAATATATACTAAACACCAACCATCAGCCAGAGACAGAGAATAAGCAATAATATACCAGTGAATCTGCCAGCCTGTGAGAAGGAAGCAAATGCTGAGAGGCCATCACAGTAAGTCATGTGAGCATGGGGTGGTCAGGGCAGGCCTCAGCCATGCTGCCCCAGGAGCATACCAGAGACCAGGAGGTCTGGCCACAGGGAGGGAGGATGGGACCAACAAGGGGCATGACTGACAGACTGTGTGGCCTTGTGGCTCTTGGTCAGATGGGACAGCAGGGCAGAAGGGTGGGAACTCGGGGAGGTAGTGGAAGAAGTGTTGGGTTTGGATGTCCCCTGGCAAACTGGACAGGATGCTGGAGCTGGTGGAGGTGTGGGGTGTGCTTACATGTGGCTCCAGTGAATGGTAAGAGAGGACGGGAGTGGAGGCTTAAACTAAAAATCACGTCTACTCGGCCTCCACCTCTCCTTCCCACATGAAAGGAGAACTGAGTCCACAGTGGCCAAGCCCTAAGAGATGAAGACCAGCCCCCAATTTTCACAAGTCCCTGGATCTAACCTGAACTCCTCATGGACAGGGAACTCATGTGAAGCCTGAGAGGGGGGCAGCAGAAGGGACAGTGGCTACACACAGCCTACAGCAGACACGGGGTGCAGGCACTGGGGCTGATGTGCCCGGTGCAGGGAGTAGGCACAGGTCTAACTGGTCCACAGTGATGTAATCAGTAAGTCAGTCTACCCTCTGCCCTTTCTATCACAGGAGGTGGTTGTGAAAATCAAGGTAAGACTGAAAAGCACTTTTTCAAATTTACACGTTTTGGACAAACTCAAGGTAAATAACACCATGGTGAGCACCTGGCTGGTCTTGAAATGCACCCTGAACTGCCCCCTAGAACTTCTCTCCTACCAGGTATGATGGGCATGAAGTTTGTGATTTCAAGTCATATCAGAACCAAAACAGGCTGTCAGATAGCACAATGGAGTATTAGCCTCTGTGAGCATCTCAGCACGTGGGAATTTGCTGGCTGTCTGAGGCCGGTCATCTCCAGTGCTCTGTTCACTTTAGTGCACAAAGTAAACCATTTTCTGAAGCACTGCAGACAGATGTGTGCTGCCTACAGGTGCTGTATCTCCGGAACCACAGGGCACCTCAAAGACATGACATCACCTGGTCAAAGCCATGAAAAAAACTCAGAAAAATAACTCAGTGAAGCAGAGATCAGCAATTTATCAGAGTTCAAACTACTGGTCATGAATATGCTCACTGAACTCGGGAGAAGAATGGAGGAACTGAGTGGACAAATGGAGGAATTTCCCCAAAGGCACAGAAAATGTAAAGAGAACCAAACGGAACTAAAGAATAACAGAAATGAAAATGACACTAGAGGGACCCAGTAGTTCAGCTTAGAGAACGTGGAATGGATCAGCCATCTGGAGAACACAGTAGTAAAAATCATCCAACAGGAAAAGAAAAAAGAAACGAAAGACAGGAGGACAGTTTAAGGGGCCTCTGGGACAACATCAAGTGTGCTGATGTTCACAGTACAGGGTCGCAGAAGAAGAGACAGAAACCCTGTCTAAAGAAATAATGGCTGAGAACTTTCCTGACCTGGGAAAGAAGACAGACCTTGAAGTCCAGGAAACACTGTGGGTGTCAGGATGAAATCAAAGAGATCTCCCTAATACATACTGAAATGAAATGGCAAAGGTTAAAGATAAGAGAGAATCTTAAAATCAGCAAGAGAAAAGCAACTAGTTACATACAAGGGAACCCACATAAGACTATCAGTCGACTTTTCAGTGAAACTCTTCAACCCAGAGGGTTTGGCAAGACATACTCAGAAGGCTGAAAAGAAAAACAGAACTAAGAAGACTCTACCCACAAGGTTCTCATTCAGACTTGAAGAAGGGAGAAGAATTTTACAGAAAAGCAAAGCTGTAGGAGTTCATCACCACTAAACCATTCTTACAAGAAATGTTCAAGGGACTTTTATAAGTGAAAAAGGACATAACTAGAAATAAAAAATTATGAAAGAAAAATCTCACTGGTAAAGGCAAACAGGTAGTGGTAGTGGTAAAGGCAGTGGATCAACCACCTGTGAAGCTAGTAGGAAGGTTCAAAGACAAGAGTAGTAAAATCATCTACATCCACAATAAGCAGTTAAGCAACTCACCAAAATAAAAAATGTAAAACAGGACATCAAAAACAAAAGGGGGGGAGGTAAAAATGGAGTGCTTTTAGAATGTGCTCAAACTTACTGAAAACTTGACCATCAACTTAAAACAGATGCATATATACACAGGTTGAAATATACGGTGCTCACTTCAGCAGCACATATACTAAAACTGGAATGATACAGAGAAGATTAGCATGGCCCCTGTGCAGGAATAACATGCAAATTCAGGAAGCATTCTGTATTTTTTAAATTTAAGGCTGATTCATGCTATTGCATAACAGAAACCAACATTACATTGTAAAGCAATTATCCTCCAATTAAAATATATATATATATATATATATATGACATTCATGGCAACCACAAACCAAAAGCCTGTAACAGACACACAAAAGGATAAGGAGACAGGAATAAAACATACCACACAGAAACCATTTTTTCTTTTCTTTCACTAATAACTCCTTGCCTTGCCTACCTCCTGCCTAGAAACCTTCCATGTGTACAACCACTAAGAGCTTAAAACTCAACATTCAAAAAACTAATAAGATCACGATATCTGGTCCCATCACTTCATGGCAAATAGATGGGGAAATATGGAAACAGTGAGAGACTTTGTATTTTTGGGCTCCAAAATCACTGTGGATGGTGACTGCACCCATGAAATTAAAAGATGCTTGCTCCATGGAAGGAAAGCTACGATAAAACTAGATAGCATATTAAAAAGCACAGACATCTCTCTGCCAACAAAGGAAGGTCTGTATAGTTAAAGCGATGGTTTTTCTCCGTAGTCACATACAGATGTGAGAGCTGAACCATAACGAAGGCTGAGTGCCAAACAACTGATGCTTTTGAATTGTGGTGCTAAAGAAGACTCTTGAGAGTCCTTTGGACAGCAAGATTAAACCAGTCAATCCTAAAGGAAATCAACCCTGAATATTCACTGGAAGAACTGATGCCGAAGCTGAAGCTCCAATACCTTGGCTACCTAATGAGAAGAGCTGACTCACTGGAGAAGACCCTGATGCTGAGAAAGGTTGAAGGCAAAAGGAGAAGGGGGTGGCAGAGGATGAGATGGTTAGACAGCATCACTGACTCAAAGGACATGAGTTCGAGCAAACCCTGGGAGATGGTGAAGGAGAGGGAAGCCTGGCATGCTATAGTCCATGAGGTCGCAAAGAGCTGGACATGACTGAACAACTGAACAACATGCTAAGCACAGCAGGGGTCCCCAACCTTCAGGATCTGATGATTGATAATCTAAGGTGGAGCTGATGTAATAATAATAGAAATACAGTGCACAATAAACAGTAATGCACTTGAATCATCCCCAAACCACCACCTGTCCCTCTCTACCTCCTTCCCCATCCACAGAAAATTGTCTTCCAGGAAACTGGTCCTGGGTGTCAAAAAGGTCGGGGATCACTACTCTAAAGCATCACTACTCTAAAGTCTCTGGTGTTCAATAAATAGCAGTGTGTATCTGTTAATCCAAAATCCTGATTTATTCTCCCCCCACCCCTTCTTCTTTGGTGACCATAAGTTTATTTTCTCCATATGTGTTTCTGGGAACTACTGACAAATCCAGACAGGCCCTTCTCACCCTGGGCAAAGTCAGCTTTTATGAGCCATAACCACAGCCTGTCTCTGATAGGTACCAATGGCTCTGAAATGGGCGGTGATGCTGGACTGACCTAGCACCAAGGGCATTGCATTTCCTGACCTTAGCAAGAGCCCCAGCAGCCCAGCTCCACACAGCAGGAGACCCCAGGCCCCAGAGTCCTCTGAAGTGCTGCTGAATAGTTCAAAAGCTCAGAAAACTAGTGTGTTTACTGTGCAGTGTAAGGAGAATTTCCGAAAATGAAGACAACATAAAAACCATGTGTAAAAGGGAAAAGGGATGGCCACAAAATTTTCATTTCATCTGTTTACTCTGTTCTATTGATGTTGATTAGATATTAAGTCGTATCAGACTCTTTGCAACCCCATGGACTGCAGCATGTCAGGCTCCCCATCCTCCACTATCTCCCGGAGTTTGCTCAAATTCATGTCCAATGAGTCAGTGATGTTATCTGACCATCTCATCTTCTGCTGTCCCCTTCTCCTTTTGCCTTCCATCTCTCCCTACATCAGGGTCTTTTCCAATGAGTCAGCTCTTCGCATCAGGTGACCAAAGTACTGGAGCTTCAAGTTAAACCTGAGCCTAATACAAGCAAATGAAAATATGCATAACCTGCCAGGACGAGGTTCACTGCTCAGCATACCTACAGACAGACTTCCACTGACCTGGGAATCACAGTGAATCTCCAGAGTGATAAGTAAGCTTCTAACTAATGAATTTAGACTATTTCAGAAAATCCATTCTAGCATATACGAGAATGAAACCTCATCTTGAAAGTTGGGTCCTATTTTTATTCTCACACTAAGATAAACTGCGAAGACTTCCAGGCCTCTGTTAGCTGCTGAATGAGACCCCTCCCCAGGCTGCCCACTGGGTTAACGGATTTGTACCTCCGGATGGCCACAGTGAGAGCCTCTGGTGAGCTGGCGCAGGGGCAGATGACTTCCTGGCGTAGACCTTTACTTTGGAAGACGTTGAGAAATGCATCACAGGAAGAAATAGACCCTAGACAGATAGAGGGGATGACAGTGGACAATTAAAAATATCCCGTAATATAAAATGCCTTTGAGGTTATAATTTAGGCACTGTGCAATTAGGCAGCATGGACAAATACTTCATTTAACATAACCTACCATTTCTGTTACAATGAAAGCTAATATTATTCTCAAACACATAACTCAAGAATTTTAAAAATGCAACTTCTATATTTAACCATACATTTTTGCTGACTGAAGAACTTAACTTTAATAACTTTTCTGAGACTTATTCTACCATTTTCCATATGCATGTTCCAAGGGAGAACTCTAAACCCAACTAAATGAAGAAAACATTCCTCTATATTAATATGAGTGATGAGATCAAGATATACAGTTATTAGGAACCTATCAGCTAAACTAGTTCCTAATACAAGTTTACCTTGCTTCTTTTAAGACCTATTACTCTGCAGAGTTATGGGTAAAACCATTTGTGTATTAAACAGCTCATAATTTACGGAGTTCTATTGTAAACAGAAGAATCACTTATAAAACTAATATACAAAGTTACCTGTTTGCAGATCAGATGTTCTTTAAGTGTATGATGCTTTAATTTAGAAACACAGATGCTGCAAAGTTTACTAATGTGATCAGAAATATTTATTCACTCATTTTCATTCATTCACTTTGCTTCTAGCTTATATACTCTTCTCATAAAAAACAAGCTAGCAGAGTTTCTGTTGCAACTGACTGAAATATTTCTCAAGGTACATTAATAGTATTCTGTGCAACTGCTCACTTATTTTATCCAGGTAGTTTCTGGTATAGAATTTGATAATGAAATTCCATTAAAAATGACAAAGTAAATTTCCTGATCAATAAACCTGCTATGGACCATAAAATAATTATAATTAGCATTTATGAGCACTTATTATATCCCAAGGAACTGTACATAGGGACTGTTGCATATCTGATGACTGCATACCATCTTGCAGCTAAAAGAAAGAGAAGAGTTTAACAAGTCACATTTCCTCAGAATCAGGAAGGAGAAAAGCCAGGACTCTACCCCAGGGCTATGGATGGACCTTCAGGCCCTGGTGCCCTGAGGCCCTGGTAAGACTCTCTTTCACTAAGGTGAACACTAGAAAAGGGGAAACCAAAGCCCAGGGAATGAGGCTCCTCCTACCCGCCTGGTCCTTCACTTACAGGGGTTTGCGCCGTCGGCCACTATCAGCATCCGGAGAGAAGAGAGGTTGATGTCTCTCTGGTCCCTGTGCGCCACCAAGGCCCAATGCATGTCCCGGGATTTGACACAGGCCACTTTTGCTAAAGGAGAAGCAGGTGCAGTGAGTGACTGCGTGTATCGTGAGATGTGTTGACACTCAGCGGCAGCCCCCCAACGCACCTTTGTACTGGCAGACCTTCTGAATCCAGGACAGTGGGTTCACCTTCATCAGTGCGTAGGGGATGCTGATCACATGCATCATGTTCATGACGCTCTGGAAGCAGGATACAGGGGTGAGTGGGCAGTAGGGTGGTGTGGGGATCCCATGAAGGGGGTGAGCAGTGGGCACTGAGGGAAGGTCCACATGGGCATGACCCTCCAAGAGGCTGTGGGCATGGAGGTGATTCCTCAGAGGGTGTCTTGGCGTCCCCAGCTTCTACTGGTACAACTTAAGAGTCTAAGTTCAAATCCTTTTCTTAGAAAAACTTAAGTGAAACAATCACTTTTTATTGGGCTTTCAGTACTGAAGCTTAACTCTCTAGTGTACTCTATATTCATTTTTATTCACAAAATTAATTTCCTTTATTAAATGTTACACTGAACTCCAAGCAGCAGTGGAGAGTTGTCTCAACCCCCACACTCTTCTATCTGGCCTGGCTCATGTAGACCAGGACCTGGGGAGAAGGCGCACTGCACCCAGGGAGAGTGTGCCCATCAAGCTCCTGGCTGCCTGAGCTGCTCAGGCCGGGAAAGGCACCTATTTCTTTAAATGGATGGCAAATACTACCTCTTTAAGTAAATGAGTCGGTACTCACACTTGCAGCCAGGACTCATACGTGGCTCATACTCATACTCATCCTCTGTGGCTGCACCCCCTGAGCTGGCAAGAAGGAACCATGATGGGGGAAGCACTAGACAAACCTATCCTGTCAGCTCTGCCCCCTTTGTGGGTGGAAGTGGTACGAGAGGGCACAGAAGCTCTGGAGCAGCTCTGCCGGAAGATGACCATGTGCCCCTCCCTGTACACGTGAGCCTGCTCACCACCAGCACCCACACCTCAGGCTTGTTGCCCACTCCATGCAGGTGTGAGGCATTTTTCACCATAAAGATGATGCTTGGGAAGAGTGGGAGCTATCTAGTCAGGGACCAACCAGCCTTGCTCCAGAAGGTGGCAACCAGAAAGAGACTCCGCAACTCCGCAACACAGGTTACTGCTGTGGGGCAGTAACCCACAGCACAGCAACCAGCAGATGACAACATTCACGAGATCTATCACAGAGCTTTTGAAAGCAAGACTGTCACAAAAGAACTCCAAGAGCAACAGTTGTCAAGCAAGTAGATGGGCCAGGTATTCATTACACGTGAATGAATTCATTACACATGAGGCCATATGGTTCTCATACAAGGTCATCATTTCCACTAGACAGATGGGAAAACCGAGGCTCAGAGTGACTTGGGCAACAAATGATTCTTGGGCACGGGAGCAGGCAATGTGCTGTGTCACAAGCCACAGGAGAAGGACCAAGGTCCAACTTGGGTCCTCTGGGCTGTGCTCTTCCTGCAACACCAGCAGACAAGGGGAGTGTGCATGTGGGGGCTGTGCTTGTATGTCTTACTGATGAGTGTCCAGGCGCTCATGGGAAGAAGTTGCTCAGCTGGAGCCCCGAACCTTTGTCTGCAGGATGCTTGCAAGCTCTTGTACTAATAACTTCTGGTTTATCAGGAAATAACAAATCCTATTTCTTAGAGTTATGTTCCAATCACTTGTGTAAAACTACTACAATTTTTTGCTTCAAAAAAGATATAGTTTCAGCAAAAGAAACTTAAAAAGAAAAATGGGTGAGTGGAAATCATCACATGTACAACAGACACAGGAAGCCTCTAAGCAGTGATGCTGAACACATCCTGAAGAAGGCCATCACTTCTCACAAGGCACTAACAAAAATGAGGCCTCTACAACTCATGCTTAAGTTCTGACCAAGGGGAAATCTGTAACTACTTTTCCCCTGTAGCATAATTCCTGAAACGTTCATTAGACAACTCAGAGAGAAAAACAAGAATGTTGCAGCCAAATCAGATGTGTGAGCAAAGTGACCCAAACGCAAGACGTCAAGGTTTCTGCACAACCTGAGCTGCTGCCCATGGGAAGGGAGACCCTAAACTTTCCTAAGCCTGAGAAACGCCATGCTCACACTGCAGCCCCAGAGCGTGGCCCCCAACACACACCAGTAGCTACCAACCCTCTGGTTTGCTGAGCTTCTGGAAGTTATGTTAGCTGACAACCGAAGACCTCCAGAAATGGCAGCTTCTCTTTATCACGTGGGAGGAAGGGGTCAGATCACGACTCTAACCCTGACACTCAGCACATGCAAAGGTAAAGAAGACAGCAGAGCCAGGCCGTCACACTCACCGTGAGGATTCCATGCCAGAGCCCAACATCCTTCTTGAAATCCAACACATTCACAATCGTTTCAGCTGTACAAATACAGAGTCAAAGATTTTAACAAAAGACACTCATGGACCAAAGGACAAAGGAAGTTCAGTATCACATCAGTGGCAAGGAATGGGTCTTAGAAAAGTATTACTCCACTGTCTCTGTAGAAATGTTGCAGCCTCCAGTCAGAACCTCAGAGAAAGTGGCCTGCCTGGAGCAGCAGCTCTTCAACCATCACTTAAAACACCCAACTCCTTCTCCATTTATAATGTGTTTTCCCCCTCCCTTTTTCTTTCTTAAAATATTCTTTTCATGTCCCTCATAAGTTCTCTCAAGAGAGGGAAATGCTGTGTACTTGCAGGAGGAGGTAACTTCCAGCAAACGCACCACTAGAATGCTCGCCAAAGTCTCATATCAGGTGCCTTGCCCCCATTTCAAAAAGGGACATTCAAAATACACAGCCTGTATTCTATTTTATGCAAGATTTTTAAATGCAGAGAATTAGGGAGTGAATTTACATTATCTATCCTCCCCAATGGCCACAAGAGTGACGGCTCTGGACCTTTGGGAAATTAGGGTAAGGAATATAGGTCATGAGGTGGTGAAAAAAAATTGGAATTCAAACTAACAAACAGGGTGGTGATCATCAGAAGTGATGTGTCTTCATGTGTGAAACATCTGGACACTTGTCCAGGAACCAGACATCAGTGGAGCATCTCCTGAGAGAGTGCACTGTTCTTAAGAAGGGAGACTGCCAGAAGGATGGTAAGAGAGAAAATGAGAACAGCAAGAAGAGCAAAGTGTCTCCTCCATGACTCCTGACAGACTCCAGCATGGTGGCAGCCTGCGACATGGCCAGGGGAGACCTGATGGCAGCCTTTCCAGTGGTGGGAGCTATGGGTATGTGATCTGACCCTTCCTCCCAGGAACCGTCAGCACTGTCAGCATGGTTATTATCCGCAGTCACTCTATCCATGTGCTCCCAAGACCACCCCAAGCAGTGCAAGGAAAGCACATCATGGAAATCAATGCCCAACTGTGAAGTGCAGCCCCAGAACCCCTGAGGCAGTGCAGGGAAGGGGTGCACTGTAGCACGGGGCATGTCTATAAAGACCCCAAAGAGGTTCTGGTGTGCATCCAGGGGCGAACACACTCCAACCATATCAACTATGTGTTATGGCCTGAACTGTTTTCTCCCCAATTCTTACCCTGGAGCCCTAACTCAGGTGTGGAGATGGGATTCTGAGGAGACAGTTAGGTTACAGGAGCCCATAGGGCAGGGCCAACAGAATGGTGTCCTAACAAGGAGAGGAAGAGGCTCTAGAGCTCCCTTGGCACACAGAGGAGGCCCTGTGAGGACATAGCCAGAGGCACCATCGCAGGCCAGGAACCAGGGCCTGCAGCTCTGGGCGCTGGGCTCCACCCTCCAGACTGTGAAGTGGCAACACCTGCAGTTCAAGACCCGGCCTACGGTGTCTGTTTTGGTTGCAGACTAGTAAGACGCCAACTAAACAGTCCGACAGATGGACCGTCAGGGTAGCCGGGGAGAAACTTAATCTGACTCTCCTCATGACTGGTGGGCACAATACACACCTCTCAGGGATGGATCTGGGGTCAGGTTCCCCCAGCAGGAGTCTACCCATACCTTCTGTGTAGCCACACGCCTGTGTGAGGGCCTGGCAGTGGGTCAGAAGTGCGATCCTCGTGACGGTCACCCCGAGCACACTTCCATCCTTGCACGTCTTGTACTGCAATGAGAAGGGGCCAGGAGGGTAGAGCTCCAGGCCCGCAGCCACCGCTGACCCGGAGCTGTGTAAGGGTTGCAGCACGTGTCGCTCAGTTCCCCACCTTGCCCAGACCCAGCGACTCACCTCAATATACGCAGTGTCATTATTTGCATCCTTAATGTGCGGGAACCAATCTCGAGGAGGTTTAGAGAGATGTTTTGACTCTGTGACAAACCATAATAGTTTTGGCCAACCTTGGAAATAAAGAACAAGTTCCTTTCAGGCAAGCATCACTCACAAGACAGGTGTAACCCCACCTTCCTGCTAAGGGCAAGATCCACAGCAGCACAGGCCAGACCAAATCTCTGTGTTTCCACCAAGTCTAAGGGCATGGCCAAGGTGCTGTGAGACTCCTGGAGCTGGAGCCCACCACATGCAGGCTGGGAGACCTCCTGTGTGGATAGCGTGTTAGCACAGTCCATGGGGCACATCCTCCCCACCCAGCACGGGCTTACCTTTGAACTGTGGGATCTCCCCCGTCGGGCTCTTTGGCAGCCCCTTATGGCAAGCATCACTTGTCAAGGCTACAGTCACCCCACAGCTTCCAAGCAAGAACCCGATCTGCTGGCTTCCTGCATCCTAGAGACGGCAGCAAGGAGATAAGGTCACGAGTAGAGGTGATGGCACTTTCCTGACAAAGCATGGTCTCACCCTGGGATGGCACCAACCCCTCAACAGAGGCTCAGAGTCAGGGCTCAGCTGGCGTCTGCATGGTGGGGGCCAAACCTCATGCCCTCTGCCCACTGCCTAACCTTGGACAGGGCACAAGCTTGGCCTCAGTCCTGTCATCTGCACCATCCCTGTGGCCTGCTGTGAGGGATGCACACAGGGAGCTTGGTGTATGCTGGTGCGCTCATGGGGTCTCGTTTCATTCCCCTCCAGTTGAACAACACCATGACCATGGGCCACAGAGAGGATCCAAGAACATGCCTCTGGTCAGGACACTGACCCCAAAAAGTCTATGATCACACCCATGCCCACCACAGAAACAAACATGCCATCATGGAGTGAGGGCACCACCGCACGGACTGAGCAGCAGCATTTGGGAGCAGACACTGTGGGACAGGCAGGCCTGGGCACCGCCATCCCAAGCACCCAGCTGCCCACAAGTCAGTTAATTCACTTTCCTTACTCCCAGCACTCCCTCCAGCTATGATTCAGAAAACAAAGCTGTGGTGCAGCCAGCGTTCTTGGAACGGAAATATCAGGACTGTGGTAAGGCCATCAGCTCCTTCCTTCCCCCTCCAGTAAAATCAGCAGCATCAACATCTCAGAACCACATCTTCCCAGTGCCTAGCTCCCACATCTCACTGCAGACTGACAAGCTCTTCTCTACAAGGCATCCTGCATGACCAGCCTCCACATGGCCTTGAGCCCCAAGAAGGGGAGGCGGCCTGATGCTTGGTGCATGGGGACCTTCCCATCCCAGGAACCTTGTGAGACTTTTCCTTCAAGTAGAGCTTTTTCAAAGAGAATTATATAATCTGTCACTTCACTGTGAATGCAGGCATCACATCATCAAAAGCTGGACCAGGCCAGGGGCAGGGAGATGGCTCTGCAGCCAGGTTCAGGGAAAGGAAGGCACTTCTCTGTGATCATGAACTTTCAGGGACCACCTACAAACAGGGCACTCAAAGTGGCTCAGGGGAGCCCCAGGGCAACTGTCAGACCTGCCAGGGCTCACAATGGAGGCCTGTTGTCCCCTAGGTCCCATCTTTCTAACATCTCCTCCGAAAGACCCTAAAACACAGAGGAGGGGTTGAGAGTAACCAGGATCAGGATCCGTGGCTACCATGAAATTCAGCTTTGCACCTGCTCCTCAGCGTCTTCTTGGTCTGGAAACTCTACTCAGAGGTCCAGGTGCATGCCCACTTCGCAGGGCCAACCCTGCCTGTTCACTGGGCTGAGATGAGACCCCGCCGCCTGCTCTCAGAGGGCTCCCAGAGTCTCCTTCACACACCTGGACCCCTGAAGCTAAGCCCAGCTTGACCCCAGAGCCTCCATCTTCAGCGCTCCATGGGTCAGTTCTCCTGGACTCCGGGTCAGCGCCCTGAGCCCGATCCTTGGGAGCCCACCCACACCCCACTCCACCGTGTGGGAAAGGCTCCACAGAAGCTGCTCAGGAGGCACGAGAATCACTGTCCTGTGGCTGGAGTGCTCCCCTCTCCCATGCTGCCTGTGCGACTTTCCCTGGAAAGGCTCCTTCTGGCCTGTGCTGGCTGGGGCCCTTCCTCTGTAAAGCTGAGCTGTAGGACCACAAAATCTCACAAACTCTCCTCTGCTGTGGAAGAAAAGGCGGACCACCTCTGAATGCAAACCTCTCCCCTCACTGACATCCTTTCTCCAACAGAGCTGATGAGTGTTGTCACTTGCTAGGCAGTCTCTCCACACCCACACTCAAGCAGCATTAAACGTGGCACGTGACCATCCCCTACCCAGTCCCATCTCAGTCTCCCAGTCAGACAGCATACTCATGAGAAGGATTCTCTCTAGTAAATGTGAGGTGAGTATATGGAAGACCTCTTTCATGAACTCTGTATTTGTGGCCCTGAAACTACTAGCTGGTGCTTTTCCAATTTTGATGTTTGTCTGCCCAAACTGCTAGCTTCTCAGCAAGTGGATTATGTGCTAGATTCTAAGGTACGGACAGTCTGCACTGGGGCAGGACAGCGAGCCCCCGCCGAGTCCAGAGGCAGATGCTGATGCTCCAGGTGCTGCCGGGCTGGACTCCTGTGGTCTCAGGGCTCACTCGGTCTCTGGTCTATGGAGCTGAATGCACAATTCCACCTCTGGTATAGCCTTGCCGCTCCCCATGCTGGCAGATGTGAACTTGGCTTCAGAGCTCCCGCCAGCCCACAGGTCTACTCTACTGTCATATGGCCTTCACAGACCAGCTCAGCACCCTCAAGAGGGTGGAGAGGACAACCACCATCTTCACACCTGCCCACTGTGGCACTGACCCTGAAGGCTCCCCTGTGCCCCTGTCCAGTTTGTGGCCAAGTCCCAGAGGGATATCCCTTTCTACTACTATGAACTTCTCAAGTGAAAAACCAGCCTTCACCCCTCATTCCAAGAATAAGGACAAAGATACACACATGGGACTAAGTTGTTCTATGAGGCTCAGCAACACTCAAAATTTGGAAAATTTGGTTCTCGAAGATTCAAAACTTCATCACCAGTGCCACTGTGAGCGTCTCACCTCGTGCTGATGGCAACCAAGCCAGTGCATTCTTTCATTTAAAAGTAAGAAAAGTTTTCTGAGGACAGACATTATGTTCTGAAGGCACAGAATGAGCCCAATGCACAGCTTCTGGCTTCATGACAGCCTGTGAGTCATCTCCTGGCTCTGTCCTTTCAGGCGTGTTCTGAAGAAGAGAGGGCCAGGAAGGAACCCCAGCTTTTTCTTCTGAGAGAGAGTTCCCATTCCTGAGATTAACAGTGACCATATGAGGGTCTGAATGGGCCCGGGAGATAAGTGAGACAGAGCCATGTGGCAGGCCGCAGTCGGGAACATCTACAACGGCTACAGGCAAGTCTCAGGAACCCCAACAGGTACAGATGAGACACCGCGCCTTCGCTCAGCAACTTATGGTCAGGATGTGGCAGAGGCAGGTGCCTCTTTGTTCAAGTGATTTTCCTCTGCAAACCAGCCCTGGTCTGGAAGACAGCAGGCTCTAGACATAAAGTAGACAAATCTACTTTCTACGTGTGATGAGTGAACAACAACTGCCACTCACAATGATAAAACATTCAGGGGTCCACTCATGTGCTCATGGAGGATCTGTGTCTCCACTTGTAAGCCTACAAATCCCTCCTGATTATCATCGGAGAATCCAAAGGACCCCAGTCCCCTGCATTAGGTGTCAATTAAAAAGGAGCATCACATGCCTGAGCACCTTCCCAGGTCAGCAACACCACCAGAGAACCACAGGGGAGACCATGGTTACTACTCAGGGAATCCTCAAGCCCTTCTGCATTTCCTGTCAATTTTGAAGGTCACAAGGCTCAGGAAGATGAGGAAGCACTTTTTTGGATGTGTATCATACCCCAGGAATGCTAGAGGCAAACCCTTGCAAATAGGGTTCTCCTCAGGCCATTAGAAGGGGCTCTGATGTCAGGGGCTGCAGGGCTCACCCCGCTTCCAGAGCCACTTGCAGCCCTGCCCAAGAAGGCCTGGCCCTCCTTGCAAGTGCACCCAGGAGGCCAACTAGGACACTTGCATGTTTTGTACCCAGGAAATGGAAACAGCAACCATTCCCCAATCATGTTCTAAGTAATCCCACATTCTCTCCTTCCGACCCCAGGAGCAGAGTTTCAAAGGCACCCACACACCATGAGCAGACCTTGAGGCATTTCCCCATTTTTATATCAGAGTAGCCACAAAGACAGCTGGAAGATTCTCTGCAAACTCCGAGCCTGAGCACATGAAAGCCCTGCATTTTGGAGCTGGGAGAGTCACCTCACACAGTTTGTTCATGATGTGCTAAACGATGCCAGGTGAATCCAGGGTGGAGCCCCAGGGCACAAGCTGTAACACAAACAGTGGCAGAACCACCCCAGAGCCGTAGGCTCTGTCTCCTTCCACAGTATCAGAGAGTGGGGACCACCAGCACCAACCCCAGCAGAGCCTCTTTTCCTCACCCTCCCTTCCAAAGTTATTGCAGGTCTGTAGGGTGAGAAGCAGTCATTTACGTGTACAAAGACACACACTGCTGTGTAGGATTCTGACACTAGACTACACTACAACTGTGACAGGAAGATAACTTATTTATCCTTCTTTTGGAATAAGATTCAACAAATTATAGCTGAACCTGGGACTTGACAACATCCTAACACCCGAACAAATGCGACAACTGCCACCCCTGAAAAATAAGTAAAAAATCTACCATTTACTCAGATTTCTAGCACAGTGACACTGAAAAACAAGACACTGGAATGCCTGGCTTTCTGGCAGATCATCCTGCTCAACACACAGAAGGCATCACCACCAGCAGCAGCTGACTCCGGCCACTGAGCTGATCACAGAGTCAGGGCTGGGACGGCCGCTGAGAACTGCAGAGTCTCAGAGACAAGGTAGGCAGCCCTGGGCTCTCCGATACACATGCTGCTGAGAGGAAAGCTCTACAGACACTGTTTGCACATTCCGACCCCACAACAGAACCTGTCAGTATGACCAAGCTGACATTCCTGGCCGAGAGGCCTCAATAGAAAGACGGGTTCTTTACCTTTCTGGTGAGGGGCACCTCAATGGGCACAGGCACAACTTCGGCCAGCAGGCAGCCATAGAAAGCCACCATGGAGGCAGCAGGGTCGTTGTTGGGGAACACCAGTGCCACCTGGACCCAGAGAAAGAGAGAAGGATTAACACTGACACCATTCCACTAGAAAAAATTAAGATGCCCCGTTTAAAAATGCATTTTACTAATAAGCACTTTCATACGTTATCAGATACTCTTTCTTTAGCTCATGTGGAAGGCAAACAGATTATCCACGGTCCTCTCTGCCACCGCATCAGAATGCAACTATCCATACTGTTTACATGTTATCTTCCCCAACGGCATGTACTTTTACACAGACGAAACCACTGTGTATACACTACTTGTCTCTCATATTGTCACTGGGCTCTAAAGAGTGTTCCTGTGCTTCCACATGGTCTTCACCATGGTGACTGCATGCGAGGCATGTCCTCCCTAAAGTGCTGGACTCAGAGCAATGCTATTCTGACCCCAGTTTGACTTTAGCATCCCAAGCCTTGGTTTTCTTACCTGAAAAGTGAGAATACTAGCTAGTAGAACCTACATGCTAGTGTTGTAGTAAAGGTCAAGTGAGAAAATGTGTAAGGCTCCCACTATGCCTCGCACATGGCGGGCAGCCATGAATGGCACCCATCCAAAAGGCCCAGGTTTGGCCGGCCCTCACAGCAAAGGCTTCTGTGAACACTGGCCCATACCTTCTGCCACACACTGCCTCTTGGGCTCAGCCTATGAAGAGCTAGGAGAAGAATAATCATGGAATTCTAAAAGGTAAATTTAAATTACTATCCAAATAGCCAAACAATGCATTGTATGACTTTTCAAATGTTTTCTGATAGTCCTCAAAAGAATCTTACGAACAATCTTTTACCAGATGGGCTCATGATTATTTATTCTTGTATGAACTGTGTTTCATTTCCAGTGCCTATTAATCTGCTAGTATTTATATTTTATAGTATTAACTCTTATATTTGAAGCAAAAATTTCTTGATATAATGCTTTCTATTTTCATGAGTGCACTTAGTGATGTATGTACACTTGTCAAGTTTTTCCTGTATGTTATCACCAAGTGTTTGACAACTCTTCACCACATTTATGTTCACCTGGCGCTCAGGTGTGCAGTGGAGCTAGCGCAGGGTCTGTCTGCTTGCTCTCCCTTGCCTGATGCTCCTTCTGGAGCAGCCCTCCCTACTCCAGCCCGAGCAGCCACCTTTAGGATGGAATAGGCAGTCCTACTTTCGGATCCGTCATTGCACGCCTCCCCACCCCGATCTCTGTAGGACTCTGCCTCATGTGAACTCAACAAGCTCTTCCCACGCGCTACTGTTGTATTGGCACTGCCCTTCCTTGTTAATAATTAACCACATAAATCCCATGATTTAGCAAATATATGTTTTTTGTATTACTCTATTAAATTTAACCCATTTTTCTTTAGAAACACCCTAACTAGAAGTTACTAACTTCGTCATGAACAGCTGGATAAAACATCTTAATCACCTCCACATCTAAGTAAGCAGGTTGGCATAAAGGATTCAGATAACAGCTAAAGACAGAGAAAGCTGCATCTTAACTCTGACCCTGCAAGCAACTCAGGATAGCTGATGGAAACAAAATTAAGTTTGGGGTCATGTGAAGATTTCCTTTCTATATGGCATTCCTATAGTTTACTAAAATCAGACAATGAGAGCCAAATGAAACAAACCATAAGGCCATTAAAAGCCATGCTGCACTACTGAAGAATTTTAAGAAACTGCAAAAAAACTGTTGCTGCTAAGTCACTTCAGTCGTGTCCAACTCTGTGCGACCCCATCCCTGGGATTCTCCAGGCAAGAACACTGGAGTGGGTTGCCATTTCCTTCTCCAGTGCATAAAAGTGAAAAGTCAAAGTGAAGTCGCTCAATCATGTCTGACTCTTCGCGACCCCATGGACTGCAGCCTACCAGGCTCCTCGGTACATGGGATTTTCCAGGCAAGAGTACTGGAGTGGGGGTGGGGGGAGGAGCCAAGATGGCGGAGGAATAGGACGGGGAGACCACTTTCTCCCCTACAAATTCATCGAAAGAACAATTGAACGCAGAGCAAACTTCACAAAACAACTTCTGATCGCTAGCTGAGGTCATCAGGTGCCCAGAAAAGCAGCCCATTGTCTTTGAAAGGAGGTAGGACAAAATATAAAAGATAAAAAGAGAGACAAAAGAGCTAGGGACGGAGATCCGTCCAAGGAAGGGAGTCTTAATAGAGGACGTTTCCAAACACCAGGAAACCCTTGCACTGGCGGGTCTGGGGGAAGTTTTTGAATCTTGGAGGGCAACCTAACTGGGAGGGGAAAAATAAGAGTACTGGAGTGGGGTGCCATTGCCTTCTCCGAAAAAACTGTTAATGAGATATTAATCTTAATTTTGTCCCCAAAACACCCAAGCAGATGCCAGGCTACCATCAGTAGGACTTCCAAGGAGGAACAAAAGAATTTATTTGCACATCTCTGCATATAAACCACAAACTATTTTAAAAATGATCTGAGGTTTGCACTGGCCTCAGGTATTCTGTCTTCAACTGGTGGTCTGAGAGCAGACAGCATCTGTTTTTAGATCTCGGTCTGGCAAAACAACAATATTCAGTCAAACATTTGCAAAGCATCCGGCGTACCACTGCTGCTAAGACTGCTCTCCCTGAACCAAAACAGAGGAAAATACAGGAGATGCTGCAGTTCCTCCCCAGACTCTACCCCAAAGTCCTCCAGGAGTACCCAGTCTGCATGCAGGAGTCTTCAAGAGCACAGCACTGAGCAAAAGGTGGCGCTGCTTCCACAGCTAGACTGTGGATCAATGAATCCCCAAGATTCTGGTCTGGTGCCATCCCAGCTCTGTTCAAAGGACAGTCAATTTGATCCAGGATTTAAAATTCCCACTGCTTGATCACTAAAGTTCATGCTGAAAATGTCATGTTATATAACCTTGCAGAGTTGGGTTAAAACAGGATGAAATGTTATATTAACATCAAGTGAATTAAAGCAAAATACAAAATTGTATATTATGCTCTCAAAAATATAAAAGTAACATAGAAAACAGTCAATACCTACAAACTCTTTTAGAATCAAAATTGAATTTTTTAAGGATTTAAGAAAGGGAAGACTATTTGTATCATTCTCACCACATTTCCCTCTTTTATATCTCTATCAGTCACAAGTTCTGTGTTTTGGTAACTGCACAGTGATTCCAATGCAATACACATATGGATGCTTCATTTTCATAAACCCACATGGTTTCTTTTTGTTCGATTCCCTATGCATTCCCTGGCATTTCATTGCACTTAACTATGCACAGAGCATAACAGGCATCAACAGACCACCTCCTTGATCTGCTCTCCTCCATGGTCTTCCCATACCAGCCACACACCACAGAACTCCCCTCAGTCCTTTCCACTCTGTCCTAGAAACTGACCAAGAGTTCAGGGCTTGCTTTTTCTCCCCAAGAAGTAGTCTCAGATTCCAGAAGCTCCCAAAATGAGAACACTCTCTGTCCTTCTAAAACAGTCCTATCTCTCACCATCTATTTTGGAGACCTTTTTCATTTTCCAACTTGCAGATAGCCAATTATCAATATCTTCATTTTTTCCCTAACATAGCAAGCTCCCTGAAGGCAGGCTTCACATATGATGCATCTCTGTTTATTCCACAGCTCCCACTACAATATCCTGAAACCTTTTCAGCTTAGGCACATAAATGCTTTTTCAAAGCCCAAACAGGTACTCCCAACAAAGTGCATTAAGAGGGTCACCCACAAAAAAAGCATCAATAATTTTTATGCCAAAGACAGAATGTTCATTATCCTTGGGAGAATTACATTTAATTTAAAAAATTTTTCAAAGAAGTAAAGAACCTGTTTATTGTGATAGACAGTTACTATCAACCAAATACTACAGTGGCATATGCTTATTTAATAGGCATTTATATGCACATGCCATATCCCAGCCACATGAATACCTTTCAAGGAATAATTTAGAAATGCAGCCCTACTCACACAATTCAAACCACCTGCTGCTGAAGAGAATAGTTTCACATATTCTATCAAAATCTGTCCCGACATTCTTACAGCTGAACAGAAATGGTTTATTTTACAACTGTTACTGAAAATGAACTTTAAAAATTTGCAGGCCAAGACTTAAAAAAATGACTCTACTGAGACCTACTAACCAAATTATAAGCAAGACATTATCCATGCAACTGACATTTTATTGTAGTAAAATGAATATAACAAAGTTTAATATGCTGCCTGTTTTCAAGTATACAGTTCAGTGGCATTAAGTACATTCATACTGTTGTAAAACTATCATCAACTATCCATTTCCAGAACATTTTCACTTTCTTAAACTGTAACTCTGCACCCATAAACAGTTGACTCCCCATTTCCTCCTTCCCATAATCCCTGGTCACCTTCATTCTTCTGTCTCTAGGATTTAAGTACTCTAAGTACCTTGTATGAATGGAACTATACAACATTTGTTCTCTTGTGACTGAGCATAATGTCCTCAAGGTCCCTCCACATTGCAGAACATATAAGGATTTCCTTCCTTTTTAAGGCTAAATAACATTACATGGTATGAATATACCATATTCTGTTTATCTGTTCACCCCACCATGGATGCTTGAACTGCTGCCACCTTTTGGGTTTTGTGAATATTGCTGCTGTGAAAAGTAGTGTAGATGTTAATCTGTTCAAGTTCTTGCTTTCACTTTTTTTGAATTACTGGGTCAAATGTTTCAATTTTTTAAGGAACCACCATAGTACTGTTTTCCACAATGGCTACACCACTATATATTCCTAAAAGCAAAAGAAGGGTCCCAATTTCTCATTGTTGCTAACACTTATTATTTTTTCATCCTAATAAGTGTGAGGTGGTATCTCACTGTGGTTTTGATGTATGTTTCCCTAACGATTAGTGATGCTGAGCATATTTTCATGGGCTTATTTGGCTATTTGTAAATTTTCCAAAGAAAAAGGTCTATTCAAGCACTGTGGCTGGTTTTTAAACTTTTGTAAAATATATGATTTGTAACCATTTTTCCCATTCTATGTTTCTTTTTCACTCTCAACAATGTCCTTTGGTGCACTGAAGTTTTTAATTTTGATGAAGTGCAATCTACCAATTTTTTTTATTCCCTGTGCTTTTGGTGCCATATCTAAGAAATCATTGCCAAATTCAATGTCATGGAACATTTCCCCTATGTTTTATCCAAAGAGTTTAGGTCTTTAATTCATTTTGAGTTAATTATTTAATATACACTATGTATGTGCCAAGTCACTTCAGTCATGTCTGACTCTGAGACCCTATGGACTGTAGCCTGCCAGGCTTCTCTGTCCATGGGATTCTCCAGGCACGAATACTGGAGTGGGTGTCCATGCCCTTCTTCAGGGCATTTTCCCAATCCAGGGACTGAACCTGTATCTCTTGGGTCTCCTGCATCAGCAGGCAGGTTCTTTATCACTAACACTACCTGGGAAGCCCCAATATATGCTATAAAGGTTCAATTTTGGGTTTTTGGTTATATATATCCAGTTTTCCCAGCACCATTTGTTGAGTGCACTAGCCCTTCTCCCATTTAATGTCTTAGCATCCTTCCTGAAAGTCACTTAACCGTACATGTGAGGATTTATTTCTGGGCTTTCTATTCTATTCCTTTGGTCTGTATTTGTCCTTGTGTTAATACCACACTGTTTTGATTACTGTAGCTTTACAGTAAGTTTTATAATGAGGAAATATGAGACCCATGATTGACTTTTAAAAGCTAGAGGTCAAACATGTTCATTAAATTGCAAAGAATCATAGCCTACCACAGAATCCTAGGGCTGTGGTAATCTTATTAAACATTCCTCTAACAAACCCATGCTTTTGTAATATCTCATAAATAAATCATAGCTTGTATTCTTGCTCATTTATGGTGCTCTACAATGAAACTTCTATAAAATTCATTTGGAGTCCTTTGGTGCAGGTGGATAACCCAGTCTTGGGGCATGAAGGTACAGAGCAATATATGGAAAAAAAGTCACTCCACTTAAGGCAAGAAAAGTAGGTTCTACATGTAGGCCCTCATCTTATTCACAGGTAAAGCTTGGGCCAGATTAACTGCTCTGTGTGTAACATTAAAAAGGAAATACTAACATCTATTCTCAGTAAACTGGCATATTGCAGTAAGAATAAAATTCTTCTTGACGAAAGACAGTAGCCTGTATCTACAAATTTAATACTAGGAAAGGAATGTACCTGCGGTTTGCTGCAAGGATTCTTGGTATCACTGACTGATATAAAAAAGTCCACAAGCACACAACTGTCCTGCGTCCTCAGACAGCTGTTTCACATTAGGTCACATGTGTCAGGGGTTGGAACATATGTCCTGGGGCTGGACAGAAATGGCTGTGAGCACTGGCTACACCATTTTCTGGACACATGCCTTCATCTGATATGACTCTTATTCTCTCAAGTCCCAGTTTCCTTGTGGATAACCCATGAGAACTACTACAATCAAGCTCACTGAGCTACTATTAACATTACACCTGCTGAATAATTTCTCCTGGGCTGTGATAAATGTTAAGAAAGCCTGATTTGGTAATATGAATATTAGGAGGCATTAAACTTTGCAACTTTAAAACAGTAGGTGTCTTCTCCACCTCAGATCACATGTCCTGCAGATGCAATAGTTTAAATTGCACTTACCCTATCTCCAGGTCGCACCATAGGCTCTTGTTTTGTACCTAATTTATGCAGAATGTTGTAAGCAACCTTCATACTTCTTGTCCACAGTTTGCCTATCAATACAAATTATAAAGACACAATTAATTGTACACATGCATTTTCTATTGTGTATATGTATGCACATTAACCTATATTGAGAGTATTACCTTTTCATTTTAAGCTTTCAAGTTATTCTGAGTCCTTAGAACCCAGATGGGAAACAAAAGCCAGCAACTCTGACTTAAAAAATATAAGCATCCTGAACACCAGAATAAGGTATTAAATACAAACAGCTAGGGTGCTAAGAACCTACAGCAAAGCCACAGAGAATTTAACTACCATCACAGAAGTTAAGGGAGGATTTCTAGGGAGTAAAACAGGGGAGAGGACATGGCATTAGTGAGTTACCACTAATTCATGTTGTTCAAAATGACACATATTTTCCTCTTTTAATGAGTCCTGTTTTGTGTGGTTCAGTTCAGTCATGGCTGACTCTTTGCAACCCCATGGACTGCAGCATACCAGGCTTCCCTGTGCATCACCAACTCCTAGAGCTTACTCAAACTCATGTCCATCGAGTCGGTGATGCCATCCAACCATCTCATCCTCTGTTGTCCCCTTCTCCTTCCCCCTTCAATCCTTCCCAGCATCAGTCTTTTCCAATGACTCAGTTCTTCCCATCAGGTGGCCAAAGTATTGGAGTTTCAACTTCAGCATCAGTCCTTCCAATAAACACCCAGGACTGATCTCCTTTAGGATGGACTGGTTGGATCTCCTTGCAGTCCAAGGGACTCTCAAGAGTCTTCTCCAATACCACAGTTCAAAAGCATCAATTCTTCGGCACTCAGCTTTCTTTATAGTCCAACTCTCACCTCCATACATGACTACTGGAAAAACCATAGCTTTGACTAGATGGACCTTTGTTGGCAAAGGAATGTCTCTGCTTTTTAATAGGCTGTCTAGGTTGGTCATACCTTTTCTTCCAAGGAGCAAGCGTCTTTTCATTTCATGGCTGCAGTCACCATCTGCAGTGATTTTGGAGCCCAAGAAAATAGTCTCTCACTGTTTCCAGTGCTTCCCCATCTATTTGCAATGAGGTGATGGAACTGGATGCCATAATCTTAGTTTTCTGAATGTTGAGTTTTAAGCCAGCTTTTTCACTCTCCTCTTTCACTTTCATCAAGAGGTTCTTTAGTTCTTCTTCACTTTCTGCCATAAGCATGGTGTCATCTGCGTATTTGAGGTTATGTTTCTCCCGGCAATCTTGATTACAGCTTGTGCTTCATCCAGCCCAGCATTTCCCATGATGTACTCTGCATATAAGTTAAATAAGCAGGTGACAGTATACAGCCTTGAAGTACTCCTTTCCTGATTTGGAACCAGTCTGTTGTTCCATGTCCGGTTCTAACTGTTGCTTCTTGACCTGCACACAGATTTCTCAGGAGGCAGGTCATGTAGTCTGGTATTCCCATCTCTTTCAGAATTTTCCACAGTTTATTGTGATCCACACAGTCAAAGGCTTTGGTGTAGTCAATAAAGCAGAAGTAGATGGTTTTTTGGAACTCTCTTGCTTTTTCAAATGATTCAACAGATGTTGGTAATTTGATCTCTGGTTCCTCTGGCTTTCATAAATCCAGCTTGAACACCTGGAAGTACACAGTTCAAGTACTGTTGAAGTCTGGCTTGGAGAATTTTGAGAATCACTTTACTAGCATGTGAGATGAGTGCAACTGTGCAGCAGTTTGAACATTCTTTGGCATTGCCTTTTTGGGGGATTGAAATGAAAACTGACCTTTTCCAGTCCTGTGGCCACTGCTGAGTTTTCCAAATTTGCTGACATATTGAGTGCAGCACTTTCACAGCATCATCTTCTAGGATTTGAAATAGCTCAACTGGAATTCCATCACCTCCACTAGCTTTGTTCATAGTGATGTTTCCTAAGGCCCACTTAGCTCACATTCCAGGATGTCTGCCTCTAGGTGAGTGATCACACCATTGTGCTTATCTGGGTTGTGAAGATCTTTTTTGTATAGTTCTTCTGTGTATTCTTGCCACCTCTTCTTAATACCTTCTGCTTGTTAGGTACATACCATTTCTGTCCTTTATTGTCCCCATCTTTGCATGAAATGTTCCCTTGGTATGTCTAATTTTCTTGAAGAGATCTCTAGTCTTTCCCATTTTATTGTTTTCCTCTATTTCTTTGCATTGATCATTGAGGAAGACTTTCTTATCTCTCCTTGCTATTGTTTGGAACTCTGCATTCAGATGGGTGTATCTTTCCTTTTCTCCTTTGTCTTTAGCTTCTCTTCATTTCTCAGCTATTTGTAAGGCCTCCGCAGACAACCACTTTGCCTTTTTACATTTCTTTTTCTTGGGGATGGTCTTGATCACTGCCTCCTGTACAATGTCATGAGCCTCCATCCATAGTTCTTCAGGTAATCTATCAGATCATGGCTCCTCTGTCCATGGAATTTTCCTTTGAATCTATTTGTCACTTCCACTGTATAATCTTAAGTGATTTGTGTGATTGCAACAAACATAATGGCTACTTAGGATGGGTTCTGTAGAGTCTGATATCCCTCCTTCCCTATGTCCTAAGTTTCTCAACTTTAATTTTTCCTAACTTCAGAATTTTAGGGTTTTTAGACAGTAACCCTTGAATTTAGATAAAGATTATGGTAAGAATCCTGAACTAAAGTTTTGAACTCTGGGGAAAAAAACACTACAAAGCAGTGTTAAAAAGATTTTTAAGAACATAAGAGAAACGACCAGTTTTGAAGAACCTGCAGATTCAAATCCCTGCCTTCCTCCCAGTGCCAGACATTTTCTCAGCCGGTCAAGGTGATAGCAAACAGTCTGAGATTGAATCAAAATGACTTTTAAAATCTAACATGAATTCTTGGACACATAAAGGGCTTTTACAACATTAGGTTCTATAAGCTTTCAGAAGCAGTCAAGGTGTTAAGAGATTTGCAATAATAGTAAAGTGAAAGTCTCTCAGTCTTGTTCTACTCTTTGTGACCCCATGGACTGTAGCCTGCCAGGCTCTTCTGTCCATGGAATTTTCCAGGCCAGAATACTAGAGTGCATACCCATTCCCTTCTTCAGGGGATCTTCCCAACCCAGGGACCAATCCCAGGTCTCCCACTCTGCAGGTGGATTCTTTACCATCTGAGCCACAAGGGAAGCCCAATAATCCTGGAGTGGGTAGCCTATTCCTTCTCCAGCAGATCTTCCCGACCCAGGAATCAAACCAGGATCTCCTACATTGCTGGCGGATTCTTTATCAGCTGAGCCACCAGGGAAACAATAGTATAGTAAAGATAACAACAATTTGAACTATTTCTTATAAATGCAACCTCTGTTCTAATCTCCTTCCTATTTAAAATGTAAAAGCTAAATTAATATACAGTTTGAATGAAAAGAATCTGAATTTGTCTTATTCCATATTGGATTCTGTAGCAACACAATTTAGGGTTGCTCCTGTCTTCCTACCAATGGATTTATCAACTTGTCTCCCCCGTTAGTGATTAGGGGACAAAGAGGACTTTTCCACTGTTTCTGATTCCTGTAATTCCTAGACATTCCTGGCTCATAGCATGTGCTCAACAAATGTTTGTTTTATTAACAGCATATTAACCAAGTTGTAAAAAGCACAAAATTACAGTATTCATTTGAGCCTATTTCTTGAGTACTGAGAGTAATTACTGTGATATTTTATTCACACTCCTCTTCCACCTTTCTTAACTCCACCTCCTCAAGACTGGCTACTTTACAATTATTTGGTTTTTATTTGGTGATTGTATTTTCTCCCCAAAGAGTTACCAGCCATTAGAAATAACTCAGGGAGTTATTTTTTTCCTAAAGAAATCACAAATACTCTGTGCTGTCAGATTTCTTTAATGTGAACAATGTTAGGAAACTATTTTGGCTGAACAAACAATTACAATCAACTTGTTTTAACTGAAACAAAAAATCAATGTGTTGTAAACTACAATTACAATCAATGAGCACCATTATATTTTCTTAAAAATTTCAACTTCATTCTTGGTTTGGAATATTAAAGTTGATATCATCATAAAGTCATACAAAAGCCAATTTACAACAGACAATTTGAAAAAGGAAACAACACACTTTGGCAAAGTTCTAGAAATATTCTTCTAGTAGAAAAAGTGAACAGCAAATTGCTGATTTAAATTAAAGACAATACAACAGTTCTTGACTGATTTAGAAAGGAGAATGAAAAAAAATTCCCAACCAGGAACACTCACCCAGGCAAAGTTATCATTCAGAACTGAACAACAGATAAAGTTTTTCAGACAAGCAAAAAGTTAAAGGAATTCATCACCACTAAAGCAGTCTTATAAATTCTTCCAAAAACAAAAGACGAGAAAACACTTTCAAACTCATTTTACAAGGCCTGTGTTATCCCGGTATCAAGACAAGGACACCATGAGAAAATTAGAGGCCTGAAGAACACAGATGCACAAATCCTCAACAATATATTAGCAAACCAAATTCAATAATATGTTAAGATGATCATACACCATGAACAAATGGGATTTATTGCAGAGATGCAAGGATGGTTCAACATCCACAAATTAATTAATGTGATTAATATGACACATTAACAGAATGAAGGATAAAAATCATATGACCATCTCAGCTCATGCAGAAAAAAAATTTAAAAATTCAATATCCATTTATGATTAAAACTCTCAACAAAGTGGGTACAGAGAAAACATACCTCAACAAACTAAAAGTCCTATATGACAAAGTCACAGCTATCAGCATACTCAACAGTGTAAAGCTGAAGCATTTCCTCTAAGATTCAGAAATAAGACAAGGATGCTCACTTTTGCCATGTTTATTCAATATAGTATTGTAAGTCCTAGACAGAGTAACCAGGCAAAAAAAAAAGCATCCAAACTCGAAAAGGAAGATGAAAAACTGTCACTACTTGCAGATAACATGACATTATACATAGAAAACCTTAAGACAAAACAGAAAAAAACAGAGTAATAAATGAATTCAGTAAAGTAGCAAAATACAAAATCAATATACTGGTGTTATCAGAAAACTGCTGTCTATATACTGATAATAAACTACTAAAAAGAGAAACCAAGAAAAAGATCCTATTTATAACAACATCGAAAGGAATAAAATACCTCAAAATAAATTTAATTAGGAGGTAAAAGACCTGTACATTCAAAATTGTTAAGACTTGGGACGTTCCTGGAGGTCCGGTGTTTTAAGGCCTTGTGCTTCCACTGCAGGGGGCACAGGTCTGATCCCTGGTTGGGAACTTAAGATCCGGCATGCCGCATGGTGCGGCAAAGAACAAACAAACAAAAAAACACTACAAAAAGCACAATGAAAATGAAGCCCCATAAAATCTGCATCTTAAAAAGAAAACACACACTGTAAGACTTTGATAAAGCTGAAGATAATATAAACAAATGGAAAGATATTCTGTGCTCATGGATTAGAAAAAGCAGTTTTGTTAAAGTATCTGTACTACGCAAAGCAATCTAAATCCAATCCCAATCAAAATTCCAACAGCACTGTTCACAGAAATAGAACAAACAATTCTAAAATGTGTATGAAACCATGAAAGACCCCAAATGGCCAAAGTCATCTTAAGAAAGAAAAACAAAGCTAGAGACATCATGCTCCCTGACTTACTACCAGTAATAAGAACAGTATGATATTGGCACAAAATCAGAAATATAGATCAATGAAACAGAATAACCCATAAATAAACCCACACATATATGTCAACTGATTTATGACAAAGGAGCCAAGAAAGGGAAAAGGACAGTCTTTCAATAAATAATACTTGGAAAACAGTATCCAATCAGCTCCTTGTCTGAATCTGGCAAGGTACAAGGGTCAGACAGAAAAGTCTTCTATCTTTCTGACTGACTAAAATCTATTTCTAAGAGTATAATTAAAAAAAAAAAATCAATCCTATGCCCCATTATGGGTAAAATACCCTTTATCCACTAAGAATTTCCCAACAAAGTCAGAAGAAAAAAATTGAGACTATGAAAACAAACGCTCCTGAATCCCATTTCCTTCCATGAGATGCGCAGGATAATGATGGAGTCTACAGTGGGGGCCTTCTGGGCCCCACTAAAAGCTGGGTTATGTTACTTAACACAACACCTGGCTCTTGACCTCCATTGCTAATGGAGAAAAGTTTCTTTTCTACCTGCAATTAGAAGAGCATTATTATCATAGAAATAAAACTGGAAGTTAAAAACGGTAATATAACCTCACACGTGCAGATAGAAGCCATCGTGTCTTTTAGTTATGAAGCTGATTTCTTTGCAACACTGTGGCAGAGTGTGTGAAAATGACCTGACAATTTGCTTTCTCCACTGCCCCTTATCTGTGCAGCAAAGAGAAAGGAATCTCTCTCGTATAGTTAACTATTTCCAAAAGTTTATGGACTGCATTAATCATACTGAATAAAGAGTTAAAGTTTCCTTCCCTTGCTTGCTAGAAAAGCACTGTGGAAATAGATTTTGTTTCTTCTGAGTGATGCATGTCAAAGAGTTCTATATACATTCTTTCTTGTTTCATTTCTTTAACTACCAATCCTTCTTCAAAGCATTAATTTAATATACATTCCAAGAGGTAAAATCCAACATCTTATTATTAGAGTTATAGTTACTGATTTTTGTATCACTTTCTGATTTTTACTCAAAAACATTAACAAATAATAATTTTTCACATTCAAATCAAATAATTTTCCTATACTGGCTTGGCCCAAAAGTTCATTTGGGTTTTCAATAGTATCTTACAGGAAAACGCAAATGAACTTTCTGGTCAATCCAATATTTCCTTTTGGGTTCCATTTATTTCCATACTGGAAACATAAGGCAACACAAACATAAACTGCCACCCTGAAACTGGCAGTTGTGTGCAGGTACAAGCAGACAAAAGGTGGATAAGCCTCAAAGAATTACCGTAAGTGAGGATGTAGAGAGGTTTTCCATTTGTGTCCATCGTGGTCAAGCATGGAGCCTTTGGTGAAATGGTCCCCCATCGCTGTAATGCTGCTTCTAAAGATGGGGGCCAATTTGTAACTACACCCAGCTGCTCCCCACGCATTGCCAACATCTGGGCTCCCTCTGGCTTTGGCTGGTTTGGATCTGGTTGTTGAACTAAATACATTTGAACACAGAAGGTTTTCAAGAAAAATACATCCATTATTAGCACAATCATTCTTATTCATTTTAAAGAAGCTAGAAGACTTATATACTTGAGTTAAAAATTTATTACAGGAAACATGCGCAGATGCTTTTCTAGAATTAGAGCTACAACTGACATATGAGCCTCACGGATATAACCAAAGCACGTAATTCTTCCAACATCCAAGGCAATGTCGGGATGTGGAACTTAGGGAGACCTGACTGCATTTATAAACTGACAAGTAAAACTATGCATTTTAACACGCCTAGAGTCTAACATTACAATACCATGTTTAAAACATCAATTCTCAACATACACCAGCAATTATAGACTCCAAAGAGTTCAAATCTGGCTGAAGTATATTGTGCCCTTAAATATGGAGATGTAAATTTGAATTTGCTACAACTACTATGAGTAACTAGCACAGCTCATATTTTCTTAAGTAAAACAAAGATAAATGCCTTACAATACAAACAATCTGCCTGACTCTTTACATGGGTGAGAATCTGAGAGGTGATTCTTTTTACTTCTGGGAAGGTTTCTCTTATAGTATATGACAGATGATTTCCACCTGCTGGCTAGAAAATTAACGTGTCTTACTTGTAACACAAGGACCAAGAAAATAAGGAGACTGGGTTTGATACAACAAGCAGTACTTTGTTTCAATTTTAGGTTTTCTTGTATTAAAAGGCTCAGGAGTGTTCAGAGTGATGACATCCAGCTCCTGAAGCTGTCCAGAGAGGCAGCAAGGCAAGATTTCCACAGCTCACTCTGCATTCCTCTAAAGCCTATGCAGAGAGAATGCACTGCTTGTTGAGCTCAAGTTGTCTGATTTCCTTGCATTCCTGTAGCTTCATGGAGTCTTTAGAAAGAGGACTGGCTCATGGGACAAAATCACATGCTGCTCAGAGTCAGTACCAGTGGTATTGACCCAGCTGTTTTGGGACTGAGCGTATGTTTAAAGGGACCTTGCGGAACAGTACCTACAGTTTCTAGGCAGGAGTCCTGTTTCCTGTGAACACCAAGATTATTGTTTTTAAAGATCAAACAGCCTTGGTCAAGAAATAACTACAGTTTATGGGGTCACAGAAACACTGGATGAGGGTGTAGGAGGAGGCTCTTTCACCTTCTAGCAGTTCTTCAAAGTCATCAACGAAGAATTCCCGTAAGGGTGGTCGTTTGGGTCGTTTGAGGGTATTGACAAGCTGCTGGATCTTTGCGGATACGCGGCTACTTACAGGCACACCTGAAAACAGAATCATGAGGCAGGTGGACTGACTCTCAGCACAAACCACCACAAATAAGCAGCCACAGTAAAAACAGCTGTGGAACCACACTCTGTTCCGTCTCAGCCAGGTGCCCTCTGTGTCCCTAGATGACTTCTGTCAACAAGAACACTCCGAGGAGAGTGGTCCCAGCATGTGGCCTTGCTGGGAAGCCTTGACAGAGAATAAAGATGGGGCAGAAATGATTCTCTTTACACTGTGAGCTGTCCGGCTCTGGCGACTTTGGGAACAGCTCCAGACCACAGACTGGGCTTGATCCCACCTCTATTCCTAAAAAAAGGAGTCTGTCATCTCCTCATCCATACCCATCCCAGGTTCTCCTCTGTCTGATCAGAAAGCTGATGAAGCAGCAAGACCTTCCCCAAGTCCCAGTCTCCCCTGAGACCACCTGTGCTCAGCCTCCAGCTGCCACCCTGACACCTCCCGATGAAAGCACAGGGGCCTGAGGTGCTACAAGTGCGACTATCCTCATCAGGTGACAGCCGGGTCCCTCCTACATGCCTTTCAGACCCACTCTCCTGAGTGAACATTTAGGGAGCACATCCGAGAAGCAAAGCAACCAAGAGTCTCTAAATTCAATTTCTGATATTAACACAGAACTCACATATATTAATATTTATCCACATGTACTGTGGGGAAAATAAACCCCACCTTATAATACGTTTCTTAGGATAATAAATGCTACATAGTTTTGAAAATGATCAGTGAAAAAAACATGAAGTTTTAAAAAATTTAAATAAATGAATGGAAGGAGCACCAAGACACTGAAGCCATACTTGGATCAAATGTACCCTCCTCTGCGGGCAGATTTCATTCCTATTCAAAGCTGGTTAGAAACCTGAACCTGTAAATTACAGGCCAAGAACCTTCTAAGCTCCTGGACAAAAGAACCACACCCACAAGAGGTCTTTCCTGTTCTGACTGAGCCAGAGCCCTTTATCCATGGCACATGCGTGTGTGTTCAGTCTCTCAGGCAAGTCTGACACTTTGTGAATCCATGGACTATAGCCCGTCAGACTCCTCTGTCCATTGGATTCTCCAGGCAAGAATAGTGCACTAGGCTGCCACATCTTCCTCAGGGGATCTTCCCGACCCAGGGATCAAACCCGTATCTCCTAATGTCTCCCTCACTGGTATGGGTTCTTTACCGCTAACGTCACCTGGGAAGCCGTCTACCACACAGTGTCACAAAAACAGAACTCAGCTTTTGGAATGAGTATGACGGCTTTCAAGAAAATTTTTCTATCAAATAACCATTTTAATAGTCTCAAAATAGTCTATGAGCACTTTCAGAATTGAGACATTAAATATTTTACAATCTTGAAATTATAAAGGCAAAATGGTTGTCTGTGGAGACCTTACAAATAGCTGAGAAATGAAGAGAAGCTAAAGACAAAGGAGAAAAGGAAAGATACACCCATCTGAATGCAGAGTTCTAAACAATAGCAAGGAGAGATAAGAAAGTCTTCCTCAATGATCAATGCAAAGAAATAGAGGAAAACAATAAAATGGGAAAGACTAGAGATCTCTTCAAGAAAATTAAGACATACCAAGGGAACATTTCATGCAAAGATGGGCACAATGAAAGACAGAAATGGTATGGACCTAACAGAAGCAGAAGATATTAAGAAGAGGTGACAAGAATACACAGAAGAACTATACAAAAAAGATCTTCACAACCCAGATAAGCACAATGGTGTGATCACTCACCTAGAGCCAGACATCCTGGAATGCGAAGTCAAGTGGGCCTTAGGAAGCACCACTATGAACAATGCTAGTGGAGGTGATGGAATTCCAGTTGAGCTATTTCAAATCCTAAAAGATGATGCTGTGAAAGTGCTGCACTCAATATGTCAGCAAATTTGGAAAACTCAGCAGTGGCCACAGGACTGGAAAAGGTCAGTTTTCATTCCAATCCCCCCAAAACGCAATCAATCCCAAAGAATGTTCAAACCACCGCACAACTGCACTCATCTCACACACTAGCAAAGTAATCCTCAAAATTCTCCAAGCTAGGTTTCAACAGTACATGAACCGTGAACTTCCAGGTATTCAAGCTGGATTTATAAAAGCCTGAGGAACCAGGATCAAATTGCCAACAAAGCTGGATCATCAAAAAAGCAAGAGTTCCAGAAAAACAACTACTTCTGCTTAACTGACTACAACAAAGCCTTGTGTGGATCTCAACAAACTGGAAAATTCTGAAAGAGATGGGAATACCAGACCACTTGACCTGCCTCCTAAGAAATCTGTATGCAGGTCAGGAAGCAACAGTTAGAACCAGACATGGAACAACAGACTAATTCCAAATTCAAGGAAAAGAGTACGTAAAAGCTGTATATTGTCACCCTGCTTATTTAACTTATATGCAGAGTGTAACATGAGAAATGCTGGACTAGATGAAGCTGGAATCAAGATTGCCAGGAGAAACATCAATAACCTCAGATATGCAGAGGACACCACCCTTATGGCAGAAAGTGAAGAAGAACTAACGAGCCTCTTGATGAAAGTGAAAAAGGACAGTGAAAAAGTTGGCTTAAAACTCAACATTCAGAAAACTAAGATCATGGCATCTGGTCCCATCATTTCATGGCAAATAGATGGGGAAGCACTGGAAACAGTGAGAGATTTTTCTTGGGCTCCAAAATCACTGCAGATGGTGACCGTAGCCATGAAATGAAAAGATGCTGGTTTCTTGGAAGAAAAGCTATGACCCACCTAGACAGCATATTAAAAAACAGAGACATTACTTTGCCAACAAAGGTCCATGTAATCAAAGCTATGGTTTTTCCAGTAGCCATATATGGAGGTGAGAGTTGGACTATAAAAAAAGCTGATAAATCCATGGCTAATGCATTTCAATGTATGACAAAAACCACTGCAATGTTGTAAAGTAATTAGCCTCCAACTAATAAAAATAAATGGAAAAAAAAAAAAAGCTGAGTACTAAAGAATTGATGCTTTTGAACTGTGGTGTTGGAGAAGACTCTTGAAGAGTCCCTTGGACTGCAAGGAGATCCAACCAGTCAATCCTAAAGGAAATCAGCCCTGAATATTCATTGTAAGGACTGATGCTGAAGCTGCAACTCTAATACTTTGGCCACCTGATGTGAAAAGCTGACTCACTGGAAAAGACCCTGATGCTGGGAAAGACTGACGGTGGGAGGAGAACGGGACGACAGAGGATGAGATGGTTGGATGGCATCACCGACTCAACAGACATGAGTTTGAGCAAGCTCCGGGAGTTGGTGATGGACAGGGAAGCCTGGCATGCTGCAGTCCATGCGGTCACAAAGAGTAGGACATAACTGAGCAACTACACTCAACTGAATCTGGTTTGGATGAATCAGAGATTATTTCTCAAGGCCACTGGTGCTCCAGCTTAAACAGGACACACACATCATCCCAGGACCCAGCTCACAGTTTCTCATGTGTTAGGTCTGGGATGTGGCCCAGAATCTGTTTTCCAACAACTGCCCCATGTGGTTCTGATACAAGATGCTATCACACCACTGGACTGGACAACAGATGAATTTACCTGGGGGAGGAGGTGAAGATAATAAATTTAAAAGACAACAAAGATACTAAAGTGGTGAAGACAAGGACAACAGTTATGACGGATTCAATGAACACTGGATTTAGTGGAGGACTACACAAACATTGACACTGAGAAGCAGTCCAGAGAAACCAATCATACTGGACACTGGACTGACTCCAGATGTACTAACAGAGAACTCACAATCCAGTGACCTTGGGCTCTGGCCACAGTGAGGAGGCATCAGCCTGTTGGAGGCTGGGTTCAGGCCTCCTCATCACCCCTGAGTCACTGTGTCACAGACACAAACTCAGTGGTATAGAGGGCACACAGAAGCTACTACAGACATCTTCCAAGAAAAGAACACTTTACATCATCATCAGATTCCATGCTAACTGTCATAACCCTGGAGGTCAAGGAAAGCAAAATAAAGCATGAAGTTCGTGTTCTAGCCTGTCACTTCAGGAGGGGTAACAAGAAGATGTTAGAGCATGTGAATAGGAAAGATTCGAAGAATAAGAGAACCCCAATGGCTGTACACAAATCACCAACACTTTATTCAACATGGAGGGAGAAAAGGACCTTCTTTCTTCCAAAGTCTAAAGCACCACACTGTCCATCTCTGTTAATTATTTCAGTTGTGTTTAGCTCCATACTGACCTCCAAGTACTTGTTCATAGTCCTGACACCTGCACTAATTTTTTAACTGTGGAATCAACATCATTCACCACCAAAAACAGGATTTTATCAAATCTTTTTCTTCTCATGACTAAACTCCTACAACAAGGAGTAACTCTTGCCCTTGGAGACAGTCTGCACTTTCTGTAACTGCCACCTTCTAGGGAAGCTCATGAAGGCCCTGATGAGTTCATGAGCCGACTGGGTCCCTAGAAGAAACACATCCAGTCAGGGGACAGAAGGGCACTTGGAATTTACAAGGGAGGAAAACTTGCTGGAAGACATACCATCACCAGTCTCCATGAGCTCGGCATTGCCATACTTCGGGGCTGTCCGTGACGTCGTGGAGCCCTGCGGCCTTTCTACTTGTATTGCATGTTCTGAGGTGTAAGTGGTTACGTCAGGAGGTGCAGAGTGATTTTCTGTAAAGAAGCAAACTGTAAGTTTTCTGGTAATCATGATATATTTATTATGAAAGCTACATAAGCAGTTAAGGTTTCCAAAATGCCACATCCTAAGAAGAGTACAAGATTCTGAATCAAAAACTAGAACAAAAACTTCAGCATAAAGATGGTCTTTACCATAATTTACACTGCTTAACATGAACAAAGTTAGGTAAAACTTCAGACACAGTATCACTGCAGAACCCACATCAATGACTCACTGTAACATTTTAATTAGAATAATGTCATCAAGTGGCAAATGTAAAAAGATAGCCTAAGTTATGTGTTTGCTCATAACAGAGTAATTTTCTTATTTGTCATAGCAGAGGCAGTTAAGAGTTCAAGCTTTAGACATAGAGAGCCTGGGGTTTGACTCCCAGTTCTGCAAATTCTTGAGACCTTGGAAAGCATGCTGACCTCTATACTTTGGTCTCTTCATCCACCAAATGGGAAAAATGGTAACTAGTTGCTTGTTGGATACACATATGTAAATGAGTTAATATATGTGAAGTTTGTAATACGACACAGGAGGGGTTATAAAATCAAAACTATTCCCAAGAAAAAGAAATGCAAAAAGGCAAAATGGTTGTCTGAGGAGGCCTTATAAACAGTGGAGAAAAGAAGAGAAGCGAAAGGCAAAGGAGAAAAGGAGAGATATATCCATCTGAATGCAGAGTTCCAAACAATAGCAAGGAGATAAGAAAGCCTTACTCAATGATCAATGCGAAGAAATAGAAGAGAACAATAAAATGGGAAAGACTAGAGATCTCTTCAAGGAAATTAGATACCAAGGGAACATTTCATGCAAAGATGGGCACAATAAAGTACAGAAATGGGAAAAAAAAAAAAAAGGACAGAAATGGTATGGACCTAACAGAAGCAGAAGATATTAAGAACAGGTGGCAAGAACACACAGAAGAACCATACAAAAAGATCTTAATGACCCAAATAACCACAATGGTGTGATTACTCACCTAGAGTGAGACATCCTGGAATGTGAACTTGAGTGGGCCTTAGGAAGCATCACTATGAACAAAGCTGGTGGAGGTGATGGAATTCCAGCTGTGCTATTTCAAATCCTAAAAGATGATACTGTGAAACTGCTGGCACTCAATATGCCAGCAAATTTGGAAAACTCAGCAGTGGCCACAGGACTGGAAAAGGTCAGTTTTCATTCTAGTCCCAAAGAAGGGCAATGCTGAAGAATGTTCAAACTACTACACAACTGCACTCATTTCATATGCTACCAAAGTAATGCTCAAAATTTTCCCATTAGGCTTCAACGGTACGTGAACCGAGAACTTCCAGATATTCAAGCTGGATTTAAAAAAGGCAGAGGAACCAGACATCAAATTGCCAACATCCAGTGGATCACTGGAAAAGCAAGGGAATTCCAGAAAACCATCTACTTCTGCTTCATCGACTACAATAAAGCTTTTGACTGTGTGGATCACAACAAACTGTGGAAAATTCTTTAAGAGATGCGATTACCAGACTACCTTACCTGCCTTCTGAGAAATCTGTATGCAGGTCAAGAAGCAACAGTTAGAACCTTACATGGAAAAATGGACTAGTTCCAAATTAGGAAAGGAGTACATCAAGGCTGTATATTGTCACCCTGATTATTTAACTTATATGCAGAGTACATCATGTGAAATGCCAGACTGGATGAAGCACAAGTTGGAATCAAGATTGCCAAGAGAAATATCAATAACCTCAGATATGCAATAACATGGCTGAAAAGGAAGAAAAACTAAAGAGTCTCTTGATGAAAGTGAAAGAGGACAGTGAAAAAGTTGGCTTAAAACTCAACATTCAAAAAACTAAGATCATGGCAACTGGTCGCATCACTTCATGGCAAATAGATGGGGAATAACTGGGAACAGTGACAATCTTTATTTTCTTGGGCTCCAAAAATCACTGCAGATGCTGACTGCATCCATGAAAGTAAAAAACACTTGCTCCTTGGAAGAAAAGTGAAAAAAGTGAAAGTCACTCAGAGTCTGACTCTTTGAGACCCCACGAAATATACAGTCCATGGAATCCTCCAGGCCAGAATACTGGAGTTGGTAGCCTTTCCCTCCTCCAGGGGATCTTCCCAAACGAGGGATCAAACCCAGGCCTCCCACATTGCAGGCAGATTCTTTACCATCTGAGTCATAGGGGAAGCCTAATAATACTGGAATTGGTAGCCTTTCCCTTCTCCAGCGGATCTTCCCAACCCAGGAATCGAACCAAGGTCTCCTACACTGCAGGTGGATTCTTTACCAACTGAGCTATCAGGGAAGCCCCCTTTGAAGAAAAGCTATGACAAACCTAGACAGCATATTAAAAAGCAAAGACATTTCTTTGTCAACAAAGGTCCATATGGTTTTCAAACCTATGGTTTTCCCAGTAGTCATGTATGGATGTGAGAGTTGGACCATAAAGACATTTAAGTGTCAAAGAATTGACGCTTTTGAATGGTGGTGTTGGAGAAGACTTGAGAGGCCCTTGGACTGCAAGGAGATCAAGCCAGTCAATCCTAAAGGAAATCAACCCTGAATATTCATTGGAAGGACTGATGCTGAAGCTCCAATCCTTTGGCCACCTGATGCAAAGAACTGACTCATTTGAAAAGATCCTGATTCTGGGAAAGACTGAAGGCAGTAGGAGACGAGGACAACAGAGAACAAGATGGTTGGATGGGATGACCAACTCAACACACCTGAGTTTGAGCAAGCTCTGGGACATGAAGGATAGGGAAACCTGCATGCTGCAGGCCATGGGGTCTCAAAGAGTTGGACATGACTGAGTGACTGAACAACAAATGTGAAATTCTTAGAACAATTCATGATAGAAAGTGAACATCTAAAAAACAGTGGCTATTTTAATATCTGTTTTAGCATGAACAGTATTGAACAGTCCAGTCATTCAAAAAACAATTGTTTACATCTAATGTGTATGGGTGGAGAAGGCAATGGCACCCCACTCCAGTACTCTTGCCTGGAAAATACCATGGATGGAGGAGCCTGGTAGGCTGCAGTCCATGGGGTCGCGAAGAGTCAGACATGACTGAGCGACTTCATTTTCACTTTTCACTTGTATGCATTGGAGAAGGAAATGGCAACCCACTCCAGTGTTCTTGCCTGGAGAATCCCAGGGATGGGGGTCACACAGAGTCGGACACGACTGAAGTAACTTAGCATCAGTAGCAATGTGTATAGGATACTGTGTTTTGCACAATGAGACATGTGGTGGGCCCTCCACACATTACTTGATGATAAAACTTAAGAACTTAAATGGTTAAATGGAGATAGCACAATTTTGCATTTATTAAATAAGACATATGACTTCCCTGGTGGTACAGTAGATAAGAACCCATCTGCCAATGCAGGGAACATGGGTTCAATCCTTTATGACTGAGTCTGCATGCTGGAACTACTGAAACCCATGAGCCTAGAGCCTGAGCTCAACAAGAGAAGCCACCACAATGAGAAGCCCACAGACAGCAATTAGAGAGTAGCTCCTACTCTCAGCAACTGGAGAAAGCCCACACACAGCAAAGACCTAGCCACAACCAACCATAAATAAATATTTTGAGTATGTCAAATGAGACTCGTGATGTCATTTTATACATATTAAGTTCTAATAATGGGTATTTTACTATTAATTTTGATTTGTTAAGCCTTACGACACAGAAACTAGTAAGATTTAACTAGTTTGTCAAGATTCTGTAATTCCATGTGACAAAAGCCTAATATTTTGTGCTGTAAAAGGGGAGTAGGTACTGGAAAGCCTTTCTCCTGTGGCCATTGCCTACCTTGGCACTACAAATGAAGGCCAATTTAAACTGTGAACTCACTAATGAAAAGCACAAGAACGAGGAAAAACAGAACACCAAAGATCACGGAAAGAACACTGTTTACAGACTGTGCTAAAAAGAAGCCAGGGCATGCCCAGTTGACTTTGCTGGGAACCTGTATGCCGGGGACTCAAACTTTAGCTGTTCTGCAAATGTATGGAAAACACCTCAGTCATGGGTATTGTTAGGAGGTTGCAGTAGGTAGACTGGCAAGTCCCGAATTCACCTGAAGTGAAGAGACTGACTTCCGTGGCAGTGAACATGTGTACATTAAGAGATATTACACCAAGTGAGACTTGAGGCCAAGAAATATGAACCTGAACTCCTAGGTAAGCTTCAAATGTAGCAACAGTCCAACCAATGCAGGCGCTTGGGACTCTGGAGACCCTTGAGCCCAGGCACACTAATCAGCATGTGGAAAACATACATGGGAGCTGAATGTTGGGCCACCAGGAGTCACCTGACTAGTCCTCAGGTCCACGTCTCAGCTCATCACCTGGGACTGGTTACTGACTTTCCTATGCCTCCACCCCTCATCCTGTAAAAGGAGGTGATAATGACAGTGCCCACCTCTGAGTGACAGCAGGAATCACATAGATAAAGGGACACAAGCACTGGTGTTACCAGACATGCAGACCGATGTGCCAGGAGAGGAACACATGGGCAGCTCATGCTACCAACAACTACTCTTCCAGAGTCTGAGCCTGGAGATCACTGATAAATAACAGCTGGCATCAGCCCCTAAGCACAGCCCATCAGTAGAGAGCCCAGCTCCCCACTTCTCATCTCCCTGTGCCAGAAGTGCCCAGACTGTTATGTATTGAATTATGTCCTCTCGAAATGCACATGTTGGAGTCTAATCCCCAGGTCCTCAGAAGGTGACTGTGTTTGGAGACAGTGGTCTTTTTTAAAATAAATTTATTCACTGTTGTACTGGGTCGTCATTGCTGCCTACAGGCTTTCTCTAGTTGTGCAAGCAAGGGCTACTCTCCAGTTGTGGTGTGTGGGCTTCTTGCTGCAGTGGCTTCTCTTGTTGTGTAGCATGGGCAAGGGCGCACGGGCTTTAGCAGTTATGGTGCAAGGGCTTAGTTGCTCTGTGGCATGTGGAATCTTCCCAGACCAAGGACTGAACCCA